AGTGTATATTTCCATGTTCTAGCCGAAGATGCATTCCGATTTTGCTCATCATGTCGATCTTCGTAGCCTCTCTCTATCTCTCTGCGCCGATGGCTGGAATGCGGTGTATATTTCCTTGTTCTAACGGAAGATTCATTCCGATTTTGCTGACCGCCAGAAGCCAAAAACGGGAGGGCCTGCTGCGGGTACCTGCCCCAGGCCACGCCAGGCCACCTCCCGTTTTTGCGAATTACTGAACCGGTAGGCCGTCGAACGCATACTTCACTGTTTTTCTTGAAGTTTCGAACTGGTCTTCGCCCAAGCTTGCAGTGGACTGTTATTCCTGCGAATTCGAAACTGTGCAGCGGTCACCCGCGGAGTTGTCTCTTTTTTTTTTTTTTTTTTTTGTGGTTTTGATTTTTAATCTGAAAATCTCATAAGAATTTTCATGTGTCTCAGCCAAATTTTGTTTGGAATGATGAGGTCCATAACATATAGTTTTTCCAGGACTGTTTCAAAATATTGTTTTTTCCCCACCCCCTCCCCCCGTCCCTGTAGTGAATCACAGGTGCTGCACTACGGTGCGTACTACTACCCACGTAGTACTGCCTAACTAACCCATATTGACCTGTACTGCTGGGGTCAATTCTTAGTACAGAGTAGATTCCCTTCTCTAGACCTTGTTTGGGTCTCCTTTTTGGCATTATTTTCCTGACTTCTGGATTTGGTAATCAGGGGTTGGATCCGACTTGCCAGGATTTCCTGCTGGATTTGGTAATCAGGGGTTGAATCCTTTCAGGCTGCTTGATCTATTGGTGGCGAGCGGCACGTGCTGGAAACCGGGTCCAGCGTCCCTTGGATACATCGTTACACAACAGCATTTCCTGTACATTTTGTCCAGGGCCGTTATCGGTGTGGAGCTGTAGATTCTTTCCCATTGGGCTGCTAAGTTACCCTGCCTGGCTCTAACCTCCTCTCTTCCACTAGCCCGGCCCATGTGAAGCCCTTCCTGAACATTGAGCTATTACATCCTTGTGTGAGACTGTTCCCGTGTCCCACTGTCATGACACGACACAGCTTTCAATTCCTTTATCAGAGGTTACAGTACACACTAGTTCTGATGGACTCTTTCCGCAAGCGCGGCCCTGTCCTTCCACGCTAATTGCAGCATGGCCGGCACGGTGTGATTCCCCCAGCCCCTGTAGCAGGAGGCACCATGTGGCCTTCGTTTCGGTATTCGGAGTGAGCGTCGTACAAACCAGTGGAAAACTGGCTCTGCACGCGCCCTGTGCATTGCTATGTATGGTAAGCTATGTGTCTGCGCCTATTAGGCTGTGTCTGGTCCAGTGGATCATGTGTGTGTATTGCCAATATATATATCAGAACAACCCGAGGCAATGCTAGGGGTGCTGATAAGAGCAGGCGCCACTAGCACTGTTGGGTGCTGCTTCATTCTCAAGCATAGATTTGAAGGATCAGCATTTACGAACATGGAATCCTGGTGAGTGACGCCTTGTCCCCGGACCCAATGTCCCATTTTCCCTTCTTTCACTATCCTCTATCATTTGAAGGCGAAGGTCCTAGATTACAAGGGTTCTGCGTTCTCAACCTGTAGTCTGTAGATTACACAACAGGTTTCTTTGCTTCTGGACTGTAGAGTACACAACAGGATTCTGCATTCTCCACCCTAGGTAGGACTGGGTACTTTAGGTAGTCTCCCGGTGCCTGATAAGCGGTTTTTGATGCCCTAAGGTCACCTGCTTCATTATCAACCATTCATTATAATCTCATGTAATTTGATTATTAGGGACGCTCGGCCCAGTTTCCAGCACATGCTGCTCCCCACCCGGTCTGACACCAAGGCCTGAGCAGGTCTGCTTGGGGGGGTGATAAGAGCAGCCCTGCCCAGTAGGCCTGCTGGTGGCCGCTCCATCTATTGGTGAGGAGCATTACCTGCTGGAAATTGGGTCCAGTGTCCCTTGAATGCCTGAATGAGAAAACTAGGGCGCGGTCATGGTTTGAGTATCTAAATGCATTTCAAACTGCAGTTTTTAATTTCAGTCCCGTGGGGAGTTTACTATGCAGTCGAAACTCCGCTTTGCAGAAAAGCCGCACCGCGGAGTTTGGAACTGCAGTTCAGTCAGGCACGTGGCCGGTTTTTTTTTTTTCCGGTTGCGTGCCGTGTTTTTTTTTTTTTTTTTTTTTTTTTTTTTTTCCAGTCGCGCG